CTTCATTGAAATAAAAACATAGACCCAAAAAATCTTGAAGACCTTTACCCGTGGTTTCTAAACAGAAATGGCAGCATTCACGATTCTGTGCTGGTGTGGAGCTTGAGCAGCACGCTTTCCGGTTAAACCCAGAGTACCGCTATTTATTGGGGCCAGTGTGTGCCAGGCCATTTCTGGGCCGTGGAAGGAAAGATGGAGAGTCCTGCACTCATGGAGCTTGTCTTCTAGTAAGACAAGCAAGATCAGCATTGAAGATCTGTAGTAAGTTAGAAAGGAGTCCTGGTGGTGCAGTGGTTAAGTGCTCGGCTGTTAACCAAAAGGTCGGTGATTCAAACCCACCAGCTGCTCTGTGGGAGAAAGACTGACAATCTGCTTTCATAAGGATTACAGCCTTGGAAACCCTATGGGACAGTTCTGCTCAGTCCTCTCGGGTTGCTATGAGTCAGAATCCACTTGATGGCAGTGGGTTTTTTTTCAGTAAGTTAGATGACAGGAGCCACGCGCAGGGCCAGGGCAGTAGGGAGGTAGATGCTGGTGGTGGGTTTCTAGGTTAAGTAGGGTGCTCAATCACAGATGTCCCTGAGAAGATGACATATGAGCCAAGATGTGTAGGTAGTGAAGGGCACGTGGATATCTGAGGGCAGGGTGCAGCGATGTATAGGCCCTGCGCTGGGGCCTGACTGGTGAGTTTAAGAAGGCTGGTGCGCTGAGTCGAGAGAGGGTGAGGAGGAGGGCAGAAGGGGTGTACTTTGAGAGGCGTGGGTGGTGGGACACCTGCTTCTTACAGCCTTGTGAAGCATCTCCAGGATTGAATTTGAGTAAGGTAGAAAGTCTCCAGAAGGATGTGGCCTGACATATTTTCATACCTTCACTCTGTGGAGAATAATTACAGGGGCAAAGGCAGGAACAGGGAGGCCAGTGGGTAGCCATTGCTGAGTCCAGATGTGAATGTGCGGTCCTGGACCAGGGTGGTGGTGTTGGAGGTGGGGAGACAAGGCCTGGGGTGTGCGTGATATGAAACTGCCTATCGATTGGATATAAGAGAAGGAAGAACCCAGGAGGACTGGAAGGTTTGGGCCCGAGCAACTGGGAGGTGGGTATTCCATAAACTGAGCTGGACAGAGTGTGGCTGGGTGTCAGGAGTTCAGTTGGGGCATGTGGAAACAAACGCAACGCCCAGGGGGATGCCTGGCTGGCAGTGTGCTTCATGGACCTGGGCCTGCGTAGTCGGCCTGTCAGTGATATTGTCAGCCACGAAGCCATCGAGCTCGAAAAAGTGCATGCAGGCCTGAGCCCTGGGCACTCAAGTCAGAGGGTAGATGGTGCAGAGCCCACAAGGAGAACAGCCCTGACACAGGGAGGTGACTGCTGCCCAGCCGTGCGGGAATGGGAAGTAAGAAGCTGAGAGTTTGGGCGGAACTGTGAGGAGAGGAAATGGAAGTGGCAGCGCTCAGAGGGGAGCAGAGAGATGGAGGGCAATGGGGAAGCAGCACATGCTGTACACTGGGAGTGGCCCAGGGAAGGTGTGAAGTGAGGAGGAGGCCTGCAAAAGAGTGGTTTCCTGGGGGGAGGGCAAGGTGTAGATAGAGCAAGTGGGGTCCATCCCTGGCAGCCACAGGATGGGGCATAGTTGGAGTCTAATGCTGGGAGAGATGGCAGGCTTGTGAGGTGGTGAGGAGGGACCAGACCTGTAAAGGGCCAGGTGAAGGCATGGCCTAATGGTCCAGGGGATTGGCAGTGGTCCTAGGCTGGGGGGAGGCAGCACTCAGTGCACTGGAGGTGGTGGTCAAGGACTTGAGGTGGGCTCAGTGGTACGGGCACAGGAGACTGAGGCATAGGCTTCCGCCAGGGCTAAAGAAGGCATTCAGATGTTGATCAAGCTTTGTCTTAGTTGGCTTCGTCTATGTATTTAATAGGGACCCTGGTAGTGCAGTGGTTAAGCGCTGTGCTTCTAACTGAAAAGTCAGTGGTTCAAACCCACCAGCCAGTCCACAGGAGAAAGATATGGCAGTCTGCTTCTATAAAGGTTACAGCCTTGGAAACCCTATGGGGCAGTTCTGCTGTGTCCTACAGGGTCTCTGTGAGTCAGAACAGACTCCACGGCAACAGGCAACAGGTTATATACTTATTACTTTGTTTTAGAAAAACAGTTTCACAGGTAATAAATAATATGGGCTTACAGAAAGGTCAGACAATACAGAAAGACAAAGTGAAAAGTGAAAATCAGCTCATGTTAGCCATACTCTCCTTTCCCAGCAGGTCACCTCAAGCTTGGTATGTATCGTTCCAGACCATCGTCTCTGTACTTGCATGCACACATGGACATATAGCTACACATGTGGGCAATTTTTAGAAGACAGAATGGGGATCATGTTGTACATACTGTTCTGCAACTTGCCTTTTTTATTCCCTTCTCTTGTATTCTGGGTCTTTCTGTCTTGGCCGATGTGACTGAACCTGTCACACCCATGATTTTGCAGCGTGCAGTGTGGATATGTCGTCCTCTGGTACCAAGCGTGTCGGCTGTCTCTTCTGGCTGCTGGGCTCTTTTGTCCAAGTGCACCCTGACAGATGGTGGGGTTCTGAAGAGTAACTGCAGTGGGAGATGTGATTGGACATTAATCTTCATCCAGCTGGTTTACTGGACTAAGACTGGACTACCCCCAGGCCTTCTGAGAAGTGGCAAATTGAATTTGCTAAAATGGCAACCACATGCAGTACTCTGGTCCACTTTCCTTGGGCTTCTTGCCCTAGATTTTTCTTTTCAAACCTTCACTGTTAGCAGAATTTTAAATGCCTCTTTGTCCTGGCAGCAGAATCAGTCTGTGTAAACAGCTCAGATAATGTGTGGTGTCCTCATTTGGAAGAAGTTAGGATTTGATGGTGAGCTTGGCATCTTTTCTTAAGCCACTCTTACAGCTTTTAACAGCCAGGAAAAAGCCTAAATTGGACTTTTAAAAATTGTTTCCACTTGCCGCTGTCGAGGGGCAGGCACTTCCTCTGGAATCTGCAGACTCGGGGCGTTGAGTGGATGGGCTGCAGGGCAGACCAGTCAGGTGTAAGTCTGGCGGTAGGTGACACACTCCAAACCTACTGTTCAAGACCAAGTGGCTGGTGGTTTTCCTTCATGTGAAAACGTCTGAGGCAAGCGGTCAGGGGAGTGTGGCGACTCCATAGACCCAGGCTCCTTCCTTCCGGCCTTTGCTGTACCGTCCTAGCTCCATCTGCCCATCCTCATTCCAGGCCTGGATCCAGCAGGAGGAAGGGAAGAAGAGGAAGAATGGGACAGGGCAGCAAGCCTGCCCTCTCGTAGCAGGGTTTCCAGAAGCTGCCATGTATCTCATGATTCAGCGTCCGTCTCCTAGGCTAGAGCTTAGTCATGTGGCCACACTGTGCTGCAAGAGAGGCTGGGAGGTGCAGTCTATATCCAGTGGCACACTTGTACATTAGGGCTCTTACACTGAGCAGGAGGGAGAGCAGAGATGAAGGGCAGCCAGGCACCTTGGTGTTTGCGGAGCCTCTGGCACTGTGTGGAATTTTCTGTCTGTGCTCTTTTTTGGAAAGGATCCCTACTTTTTTAGTAGATTCTCAAAGCTATCTGTAACCCAAAAAGTTTTAAATCCACCAATTGAAAGGTCGGTTGAGTGGTATTGTCTAACTGAGGGATACTGCCTTCATTAAGGTGTTTAGTCTACCCTCTTGTCACCTTTGATTTTGATTCTTTGAGCTATGGCGTAAGTGGCTTTGTTTTCACACTGACCACCAGTTCGTGTGCACTCACGTATGGATTCCGCATGACCACGTGATTTCGTGACACTCTGAGGTTACTATTACCCTTGTCAGGCCTGACAGGTCCTCCTGAATCGGTTGACAGAGGTCCTGCCTGACAGTGATTCCCTGGAGCAGTTGCTGAGGTTGAAGGATGAACACCGCAGCATTGATCTGAAAATTTGGATTGGTCTTTTCCCCTGTGGAAGTTGTATGTATCAAGCTTGGTATGTATCATTCCAGACCATACCAAGGAGTTGCAGCTGGATTCGGTCTTCTCCCCCTGTGGGAGTTGCAGGCAGCAAGCATGTTGTGGAGGGGAAGCTGCACGCGTCCATGATCAGGATGTAAGGTGAAATACGAGAAGAGTGTTGTGACGGTGACAGCAGCGAGTCCTGAGCGCTCCAGGAGGGCCTGTTTTCAAGTACGATGTTTAGATCCGTATTGAGAGACCACATTTTGAATGCCATGCCTTGTTTTTATTTTGGAAAACAAGGTCTCTCTGATCCTAATCAAAGTGTTACCTGTGTGAGAAGCAAGTGATCGGCTCTGCTCCAGACAGAGTGCCAGGCTCAGGGGTGAGACATCAGTTCAGGGCAGCCCTGCCCTGGAAGGTGCAGTTTCATGTACAGGACAGACAGTTCCCCTGGCCAGGCTCACGTGATAGTGCCACCCTCCAGGGGAAGGGAAAGCTAAATAGAGGTGCTGCCGCTCTGCCTCCGGCCTTCAGAGGGTGCCAAGATGGAGGGTGAAGAATGGCCCAGGTGGGAGGCCTGTTGGAGTAGAACTGCGGTGCTGGAAGGGTGCACCACTGTGGGGACCAGCAGCCATGGGGCTGGAGCACCGGTCTTGTGGGGCCTGGTGTGTGCAGCAGGAGCGTGTCTCCATGCTCTGGAGGCAGCAGGGGCCACTGGAGACAGGTCTTGGAGGCGACGGGCTCAAGCTTTAGGAGGTGACTTTGGATGTGGCAGGAGGAATGCGTTGTAAAAGTGGAAGGCTGTCAGGCAAGAAAGAGGCTAGTCTAGTGGTTAAGGGAAGAGCTAATGAGCCCTGTTTTGAGCTGCTGCTTAATTTTCAACGACCATGAGCCTCTTGGTGGTTTAGGGCAAGAAGAGCCCTGTAGTCTCGTGATGTCCTCTTTGGTGCACGTGGTTGGTGTTTTCCACCATCACACATGTCACACCTGCTCATTCTCCCCCCCGTTTCTCAGCTTTTGTCTTGTAGGTGACAAAACCCCAGTCACACTGTGTGTCTGACTCCTGCTCACAGACTAGCCTCCTTTCGTGCATTCTGGATGATGTCAGAACAGGACCTGGCAGACGTGGTTCAGATTGCCGTCGAAGACTTGAGTCCTGATCACCCAGGTACAGAGCTTTGGGACAATAGGTGACATGTTTATTCTCTATATTCTTTAAAAAGTCAAAAGTGGTTCTGATAGTTTTCTTTCCTTTAAATAAAAAAAGAAAGAACAAGCAGTGCATGCACTTCATGAAAAACTCGATTCATAGCAATGTGAGCAGCATCAGCACCGCAGCTCTTCGCTCCTACAACCCAGCCTGAAATATGTTCCCCAATGTGGAGTGCTCCAGCCCCCGGCCCCCCTTTAATGTATGCACACACCTGCAACCTCTGTACCCCTCTTCCTGAGCCTGCCTTGGGACCATGCGACATGTGTCCTACAGCTGCCCTCGTTACAACTTCCCCTTTTACAACTCAGTGCTGTAAGATAACGGATACCTCACCATCATCAGTACATAGGAAGTCTGCTTCACTTTCTAATGACCTCATAGTTTTCCATTTAGAGATGGGCCTGATTTTTTGAGCTCTTTCTTTTCAGATGGCCGTTTACATTGTTTGCTTTTTTTTTTTTTTAAATATGTACATCCCTGCAGTAAAGATCCTTGCACATGTATCTTGTCAAGTATTTTTGCAGGGTAAGTTCCCAGAAGTAGAATTGCTGTGTACATTAAAATTTTGATAAGACATTGACAGATTTTTCAGAAGGGTTTTATTAATTTATTCTCCCACCTACTATGTGTGCAAACAACATTTTCCCTATGCTTTTGCTGAGGCTGGTAGTGGGCACAAATCTACTTTGAAACTGTAACTAAATATTTGTTTTAAGGAAACCCTTTAGAAATGAAACTCTAGATTTTAGGAACTTTGTTTATGAAAAAGCTTTGTTTACACTTGTTATTTTATAAAAAGGTTTCTTAGTATGTGTTTTCTCCTTTTTCACCTTAAAGTTTTATGTGTTTTATATTTCTGTTAAGTTTAAAGTGACAAGCTTGCATAATTAAGTCCTGAATGTTTGGTTGCTTGGTTATTCTTTCTGGAATATTAGAACTGAAATGCTGTCTTTTCCCCCCCACAGAAAAGAGAGTGTTTTCAGAGATCTCATAAGAAAGCATGTCTATTTTGTGTGCTCTCTTTGGTCTGTTACCTGTTAAAAACTTCATTTGGTAATGAGTTGTGGTATGGAAAGGGAGAGTATTAGAACTACCTTTGGAATTAAATGAGCAGTCACAAAGAAATAGAAAGATAATGTTTTAGGAATACTGTTCTGTACTCAGAATTTTATTTTGCTTCTGAATTGTTTATAAAAAGGACTATCACTGCACGTAATGATTTTTAAAATCCCTGTTAATATTTTGCTAGGCTAATGCGATGCCTTTAGAAAACACACCCAGCAATGTTTGAGGGAAAATGTTCCAGGTCCATAAATTTTAAGCATTTTTAGAACGATTAAAATTCTGACAGCTTACTTCCCAAATAAATTAACTCTCTGTAGACTACAGTTCAAAAAACTTAGAGAAATCATTTCTAATCTTCATTTGGTTCCATCTCTGTTCTTTAAATAACTGGAAACTACAATTTATTGAGTGTTTGATCAAAACCTACTATGCACAAGGCTCTCTGAGGCCTGCAGAGACCAAGAGGTTGTGAACTCAGGCCCCAGAGAATGTGCACACACCCAGCACATACCGTGGTGCAGCACACCCGCATGCCTCCATAGTGGGCAATAGAGGAAGATGTTTTGGTCCTCATTTCTAAAATATAAACTTTGCAAATTTAAAAGTATATGTTTAAAAACATTTTTTAAAAACTATATGTTTAAAAGCATAGCCAAGTAAGTTGAAGAAATAAAAACAGTTCCCATAATCCTGGAGATAGAAGTGCTTTCAAGTTGTCAGCATATGTGTCCTTCGAGTTTTTCTTATTTCCATTTAAAACAAAATGTTCTTAGGTTCTTCTCAGCGTTGGCGTGTGTGCTGACCATAACTGTCTGAACACACACGAGGTCGTCGTTTCCATCAGGCCTCTCATTCCAGTTGAGCATGGTGGCTTTAACATGAGCATTATAAAGTTCTTTGCTCTAATTCTAAACGCTAGGAGCACAGAATTAGAACAAGCAGTGCATGCACAGTATAGCAGAGAACAGAGAAGGAAATCGCTGTCCCCTGCCATCCACTGCCTTCTGTCCTTCACCACAGCCACATTTGTTCTACATGTCCACTTTGCTGCTCTTGGCTTACAACCTCAAGAGACTTCCAGTTGCCAAGGGGTGTGAGTTCTTGTTTTCTGTAGTTACAAAGAAACTAGCCGTGTGACCCCAGACAAGTCACTTAACCTCTCTGGACTTGTTTTTTGTTTTTTTTTCCAGCAAATTGAAAAGGTTGGAAAAATGTTTGTTAGGGTCTCTCTCCATTCTCCTAGTCCTGGTATAATTGGTCTCCAATGAGAGTTAGTAGACTTTGGATCAGATCCTGAGAAGCTGTCTTTCGGCAAGCCCCAGACCCTGTAGGTATGGGTTTTTACTGTCTGCGGTATGCTTCCTGTCACTTTTGGTTCTTGGCTGGTTTCTGCAAGGTAGAGTTTGGGATGATTTACCTTCAGGTAGGTAAGATTTTCCTGCTTTTGCCTAGGACTTGTGAGAGGCTCATGTTAGACTGGTAGGACTATTTAAAAGTCTTTATAGTGTAGAGTTCCGAGGTGCACGCTCACGTACGTACAGGCTTAAAAAGAAAAGCCCTCGTCACTCTTTTTTTTTTTTTTTAGAGCGATATCTTATTTGGAAACTCAGCATATAAAACCTGTCAGAGTGATTTGCTATGATTGTGGTGGGGGCAGGACCACAAGTGTCTGTTGCTTGCCTTTCTTGTGCGTGCGTGCCCTGATGCTCCCGTGACAGACAAGGAGGCCGAGTGCCCAGAAGGTGTGCCCTGCCAAGCCTGCATGCAGCCTGGCAGGGGTGATGTGAGAGAGGGGGTTCTGCTTGGGGCAGGCAGCTTAACACTGCTGGCATCACAGTGAGAGGAGGGTGACATCCAGCTCTTCTGGGAGTGACTTTGCCAACAAGGTGGCACTTGAGTTGGTCCTGGACGGTGGGTGGGTTTCCCTCAGTGGAGGTGGTTGGGGCAGTGTGGCATGTGGAGGCTGGAGGGGGATGAGCTGGGGCATAGTTACATAGCATTGTCAGAGTACAGCAGACAGAGTCTGGCCACAGTGGGATAATCCCATTTGACTGTAGTGGGGGAACACTTGAAAGGTAGAGCATGTTGCAGAGCATGCACATGCCATGGTTTGTTCCCCTGCGGATGGAGAGGCAGGGACCTGCATGTTTCTGCTGAAAGTGCTACAGTCTCCACACTCTCATGTGTATGTGTGTACACACACACATACACATATCTTTGCTTAGATACTGGTACTCATTTCTGTAGAATAGATTCACAAAGTGGCCTTAGTGTGAAAAAGAGTGCCTTAAAGCTGTGACCTGGAGGATGTCTGCGTTATATTGCTAAGTGAACAGAAAAGATGCAGGACAACTGTTGATCACATGCGGTTGCCCCTGCCTTCTGCATGTTACACGTCTGTCTCCATGTGTGAGTGTGTCTGGAAGAGAATCACACCAGATGGTGTAGCTTACCCCAGGCCAGAAGAGGAGAAGAAAAACATACTGTAGACAAGTGGAAAAACATGTATGGTGCAATGTTCAGTAAAAAAGGGTGAATATAAAATTCTGTCTATAGTTGTAAATACATAACTTTAAACAATTGAATAATTCTAGGGAAAAAGATTAGACAGTATCCTAGAGAGAAAGGCAGTTTGCATTGATGCCGGGATTGTGGATGATTTTGGGCTTTGATTCTATGGTTATTTTTCATATTGCTTTTGTGGTCAGTTTCAGATGACAGGAAGGAGGTCGGGGCCAGGGTGACAGGCCTTGAGTGGCTGAGTTGTGTGTCCTTATGGAAGCCATGAGAAGCAACAGGAAGGTGCTGATGGCGGGGGGCGGGGTTTGATTTCAGCTGCACTGTGGGGAGCGACAGGTTTCTTTAATTTCGCATGGTAAGATTATTTTAATTATCAGCATATAAGAAAATGTAATTTTCAGAGAGTGGTTTTGCTTTTCAAGTGAGGTAGCCAGCAGACAAGACTTGACTCTACAGCTGGGAAGAAGACATCATCATCACCTGGGTTTCTCATGCAGCCACTCATGCAGGTGGCTTTGTAGAGCATCCAATAAGAAGCCTGTCATTCGGATGTTAGGATGGCTCAGTGGTACGTTAGGGAAATCATGTATCTGGTATCAGTTTTTTTCTGGGATTAAGGAGCGATCCTATTTTCTGCCTGACTGAGAATTTTAAGTTTAAACTGTAAAAAGAGCATTTAAAATCAGTTGTGCCGTTTAGAGATGTAACCCCCAGGCATCAGTACCATTTGCCGTCTTAGCATTGAGACTCTTCTGTAACCCCCAGGCATCAGTACCGTTTGCCGTCTTAGCATTGAGACTCTTCTGTAACCCCCAGGCATCAGTACTGTTTGCCGTCTTAGCATTGAGACTCTTCTGTAACCCCCAGGCATCAGTACTATTTGCCGTTTTAGCATTGAGACTCTTCTGTAACCCCCAGGCATCAGTACTATTTGCCGTCTTAGCATTGAGACTCTTCTGTAACCCCCAGGCATCAGTACTGTTTGCCGTCTTAGCATAGAGACCCTTCTGTAACCTCTAGGCGTCAGTACTGTTTGCTCTCTTAGTACTGAGACTCTTCTGTAGACCCTTTCAAATGAAAGACTAACTCTCAGTCTCTGTCACCAATTCCAGTTGTCTTGGAGAATCATGTAGTGACGGATGAAGATGAACCTGCTTTGAAACGCCAGCGTCTAGAGATCAATTGCCAGGACCCCTCCATAAAGGTAAAGATATGATTACGTTTTATTGTGGATGGTGGACGAAGCCGCGTGCTCCTTTTGGACTTACGGGGAATAAACATTGTGTAGACTGAGGCTGCTGCCCAGCGGGGCCTCTCTGTGTTGCACCCATTGGCACGCTACGAAGCCACCTATCTATAAGCCACTTGTTGTGAGTGGAAGGAAAGTAAGAAATTAGTTTGACTAATATTTTCCACTAGGAAGAAGTACTTTTGTATTAGCATTTGAATGACCTAAAGTTTAAAATCTGCTAGATTGTGTTCTTGGAAACCACCAATTCAGTCAGTCAGTTATTTTTGGATCCTTGAGTTTACTTGTTTGGTCCTACTGTTTGCAGAGTCAGAGAAAGATATCAGCAAATAGGAGAAACTTCAGAAAGCAGTGCAAATGAGAATCAAAGTAAACTTTTCATATAATTGCAGGCCTCTGGGTGGACCTGAACAGCCAAGCTTTTGGTTAGCAGCCAAGTGTGTTAACTGTTTGAGCCACCCAGGGGCTCCTCTGTTTATACAGGGTGTCTATTTAGAAATATCCAATTTATTTTATTAGCAGGGAAAAGCAGCATAAGCTTAAACATGTGTGGAGTGATTTAAAACTATATTCATAGTAAAGTTTCTATTTCAGACCAGTTGGTTAGAAAGTGGCTGCGTTAGTTGTTGCTGTTGTTAGTTGCCATCAAGTCAGTTCTAACTCATGGTGATTCCATGTTATGTTTTAAAATAAAATATTTTTATAATTTTATCGCAAAAGATACATTTGTTGTAAACAACTTAAACAATATGGAAACATATAAAGTAAATAAATGAAAGCATTTCTGCCTTATTTCCAGTCCCATTGTTAATAGTTTTGGCATTGGGCTGCATTTTTAATACTGCTAAACATGTATAGCTATGTGTACTATTTGAAAAAAATTGCTTACCAAATTGACAAAAATGTTTAATGAATAGATTTGAATGGTTTATGGTTAATACCACTTGTATGTTAAAGACTTATTTAAAAATACTATTACCCTCTGCTTGCTTCTTTGAGTTATTGTTTGGTAAATTGTTTTATTCATATATATCAGTAATTATCACCCAAACCCCAGACAGAATCATTTCTAATTCAGAATTAAAATAATAAAGTTTTATTGTGGTTAAAGAATTTAGGAGACAAATGGTTGGCGTCTTCAAATTATAAAAGATGGTGGAGTTAACAGTAGTTTTATCTCAAGAATTCACTCATCAATAATTGCTTCTCAAGATGACTTCTATCAGGTCAAACCATGTGAAATTGCCGTTTTTGTCAGTTAAAGATGATCGAATGTCAGCACATGAACATGGTTCAACCAATCTTGTCCTGACTGGCTGGTTTTCCTCTTTTATACACTGCCTCAAAGCCACTTCATTGTTTGCACCTTTGCAATGGTGAGAGGTCAGCAGTGGAGGTTGACATTAGATTTTAGTTACCTCATTGATGGCCTTCACTTCCACCTATACCAGGAAACTACACAAATGCACTTACCGTCTTAAGAAGATAAGCTTGATCTGTTGTGAACTCACTGAATAAGAATATCGTTTTTTTTCTCCCCCAGACCTTGATGTCAGCTGTCAGGTCCAATGTGTGATCTTGCTGTCTTCTTGATGTTCTGCAGATCCACTCAGAGTAGAAAGGGGTACAGAATGTTGTCAAGTGCTGGAGGTCCCCCACAGTCAGGTGGAAGCACAGGCATCTCTCCCCTCACCTGATGTCTGCAACCCAGAGTGGCTTAGAGTGACCCACAGAGACCTCGTCTGCTCCCTCCAATGGGTCTGCCTTAGACATTGCACTTTTCCAGGTGGAGGGCAGAGAGGGAGAGGGGTAGACGAAATGAACTCTTGATCATTTTCAGAGATTCCATTTCAAGTCAGATGTCACCTTGCAGCTAAACTGAGCGAGGAGACACTTTAGGAACCTGCTGTTGGCGAGCACCTGAGTCCTGTGAGCCTGGAGACCAGTCTAGGAGGTTTCTGTTGCATTGTAGAGTTCTTACAGGATAGATGCATTTCCACCTGTATTCCCGTTGACTTGTGGCAGCAGTGGGAACCGGGGGACGTTAAATACTTTCCCATCCATTTTGCATGTTTGATCTGTTTCCTAGGTTTGGAGTAATGCATATCCCGACGAACTAGGATGAATTTGAGTTAGAAGTTGAGACTTAATGACCTAACACAAAACGTTGCTTGATTTGGACCACTAGGTGGCAGACTTGCTGTTCAAGAAGCTCCAAGGGCCCCTCACAACCAGATGCCCAGATCAAATGAAATGCACGATCTAGCTGCCTTTTGAGGCATCTGGGCAAAATGTGAATGTGCTCAGCCATGGCCGGGGCTTTTCAGGCTGTTTTGATCTTAAATGTAATCTGTTTTCATGACTGGAAATATTTGGGTAGTTTTGTGTGTAAATTTACTGATTAATGTAATAACATATTAAAGATTACCCAGGTGTTTTATTATATGGACTAAAGCATAATTAAGAATTGCAGCTGCAGATATAAGTAAAGCCATGATTAAGTGGTTTCACATTTTAAAGAAAAAAGGTCCAACTTGTTTACTCAAGGGTTTCTGGCTTGTAACTAAAGGGCTGGTTGAACTGCAGGCATAGATGCAGCTGAAATGAGGAAATCACTGTTAGGCGTTCCTTGAAGTGTCTCACTGAAAATCAGGATGCCTGTTCTAAGTGTTTCTCTTTTTCACTTCCAGTCATTCCTGTATTCCATTAACCAGACAATCTGCTTACGATTGGATAGCATTGAAGCCAAGTTGCAGGCACTAGAGGCAACGTGTAAGTCACTAGAGGAGAAGCTGGACTTGGTCACCAACAAGCAGCATAGCCCTATCCAAGTCCCCATGGTGGCCGGCTCCCCGCTTGGGGCCACGCAGACCTGCAACAAAGTGCGATGGTAAGGACACCTACTGGGCCGCTGCTCTGTCTGTAGAGAATGCTTCTGGAAAGCTCTGCCTGTCCCGATACAGGTCTGCCCACTCAGCTGTGGCTCTGTGGAGACTAGTTCTTCATGAGGGCCTTTGCCTGAGCAGCTTCATGCACTGGTTCGAGTTAGGCTGAAACGAAGCCTGTGATAGCAGTCCTGCTCCACCCACATCGTTGTCACATTTTCCTTTGTGATGTGAGCCAGGCGGAGGCAGCTTTGCTTTGCAGCTGGCCCTTTGAAGGTGTACATTAGCTTCTTTCCTTTTTTCTGCACTCTGTGGTGAGTCATTAGATATTTTTTCTTCGTAGGTAGCTTTTATAAATTTCTCTTAAGTATATCAAACTTTTCACTCAGTTCCGTAGTTTTTATTGTGCTTATTTATTTATTTTTAAGATTTTGAGTTTACTCTTAGAAGAATACTAGTTTTTGTACTGTTTGAATCCTTTGCTTCCTAAAAAGTTTAGTTAAGATCAGGAAGATATTTTAGAAAGTGTTGACCTGCTGGCATATCACAAGTCTGTGGCGTGCCTCAGAGACTTTAGCTCATGGGGCCGAGGCTCTGGCAGCAGGGATCATCCCTCCTGTTGGCATCCTCTATCCTTCCCCCACACCTGGGTACAAAGAAATCAGATTTGTGGCAGTGGGCAGAATTTGTCTTGTATTTGATGCATGCTGAGCATTTTTCACCGAGGGCTTTTCTGTTGAGGTTCTTCTGAACCGACTGCAGCCTCCTGCCCTGTGTGAGGAGTGGGCAGTGGGGCGGAACATAGTGGGTGCAGACATGCAGAGCTGCAGCCTTCTGCCCGGTGTGAGGAGTGGGTGGTGGGGTGGAACACGGTGGGTGCAGATGAGGGGACCCACAGCATCCTGCCCTGTGTGAGGAGTGGGTGGTAGGGTGGAACACGGTGGGCGCAGATGAAGGGAGCCACAGCCTCCTGCCCCATATGAGGAGTGGGCAGTGGGGTTGGAGCATGCTGGGTGCAGACAAGGGGGCTACACCAGCCTAGCGGAGCTGTCCCAGCCTCCTGCTGCTGGGACTGCCCTGCTGTGTTGCTGGTGGCTAAGAGAGCTTAGTGCTCTTTGGACTTTAGGGGCATGGGCAGGGACAGGAGGGGCTCCTTCACTCCTTAGTTTTGGAATGCCCATTCCCATGCTGCAGTTGCAAAGTGGCCTTCTGTCTGGTTTGTCTGGGACAGCCCGGGTCATGCCTGTTAGTGGTCAGTAGTGCCCCCTTTCACTCTGGAAGTGTCTGGTTAGTCTGAAATGTCGCATGGCCTCCATGCCTGATGTCCACCTGGTGGTAATGGAATATGGTGTCTGTTCCCAGAAGGAAGGTGGGGGCTCTTCCCGATGTCACTTTGAGACGGGGCCTCTTACCTGTGTTTGTGCTTGTTGTCACAGATCACCACTTGGTTTTTGCCAGTGCACATTTGTTGCATGTGGTCTCTGTGCCAGGCTGTGTCCTAGGCTCTCAGGCAGTGAGGTCGGCCCTACAAGACCCAACACCTTATTCTAAAACATAGTGTTTAGAAAATATAATTTATAATTTGAAAATTAATATAATGCTCTAAGTGTAGTGTAAAGGAGAATGAAAGGAAAGTAATGATGATAAAATAACATGCATTTCCATATGTAAATGGCTGGGCAGACCCTGCTGGAAGATGTAGGGGATAAGCCAGGTGCCCACCCTTCTGTTTCTAGGTGTGATGAACAGGAGGCTGCCAGGTGTCTGATCCAGGGCTCTAGTATGGGGACTCGGATGCTATGGCCACTTTCCACTTGGGGGTAGAATGTTCCACTATGGTCAGCAATTCTGGATGAAGCTTCTAGTAACACCAAGTGTAACGTTCTCCCTAGACACACAATAGCTGAATTTCTGGAAAATTCAGGCTATATTAAAACTGTATAAAACTATTTTGTGCATAAATATAAGCTCGAGTAAGGGTCTAGGCTCAGAGAATGAGAGGCATGTTTTTCACTCATATCAATGTCGAGGACTGTTGAAGCTGGTGTGGGAAGACACTATATTGTGTGACTGCCTCATCACTGAAGGATGTCTTCACCTCCTTGAGCTGTACCCACTCAGTTCTAGCAGTACCTACTGTTTATGACAGCCAGGTACGTTCCAACAGATTTTCAGAACCCTTCCGGGCAGCTCCGTGGGGAGCCATCATTCTGAGGGATGAAGCAGACAATGAATGAATGATACGCTTCCTGCTGACAAGAAGCCACATATTCTGAGGATAGTCCTCCTCGGTCACTTGTCACTTCTTATGTTTGGAGGAGGTAACCTTCATGAGTTGTTGTTGTTAGTTGCTGCTGAGTTGGTTCCGACTCAGTGACTTCATGAGTTGGGGGAAGTACTGTTAAGAATCTATTCCGCTTCTGCCTTCCATGATCTGTGATCCTCTCGCCAGGGCTGGGTGAGCGCTTGTGCCTTTGTATAGCTGAGGAAGAAGGATTCCAGGGGACTGAGCTGTGTGTTGTACCCCTGGAACGACGTGTTTTTCGTGTCCCATCTGTAGATCTGTGGAGGGAGCGTCGTGTGTGGGGAGGAGCACGGCCTCTGGGTGACCCAAGGTTCAGAGCTCGCTGGGTGACCTGCCCAAGCCGTATACGCGTTTTGAGTCTCAGTGTCCAGTTTCCTCATCTTTGAGAAGAAGGAGGTAACAGGGGTCTGTTCTTGGGGTCCTTAACCTCACTGTTCTCTTACTGATTTTATTGTAAAGATGCCACCCTCACCAAGGCAGATGCGACGAGAGACTGTCACCATCTACACTATGTTAGTCTGCACTCCCTGACTGGTTCGTCATGTTCCTCTGCTAGGGGGTGTTTTCAGGCTGCAGGGAGCCGCCATCTCTCTGTTCCCTAGATGGCAGGCTTCCTGGTCAGGAATTCCACTTCCCTTGCCTCCAGGGGGCCCTGCGGCTGTCTGGAGCCCTGCCATGGCTTTCTCTGTGTGTGTGAACACGTGGTAAAGTAAAAGTAAAGGTTTCTCATCTCAACACTGGCCTTTCATCTAATAATCCAAATCAGTTAGGTTGTATGGATTCAAAGAATTATACTGGTAAGATAAAATCAAGCCATGATGGAATACGCTGTTATTGTCTATTAGTCATGAGGTTTATTCATATTGCTAATAACACCTTTGCTTATAAAAATTAATTTAAGAGTAATAGAAGAAAAATCACTTTTTCATTTTCTCATAGACAAAATTTAAGATAGGATGGATTTGAATAATTTTTAAATGAGAAATACAAACTGCCGACAGTTGAAAGCGGTCAACAAGGAATTCAGGGGAAATTTTAGAGGATAAGAGCTTAACCCTAGTATTTCCATTTAAAAAATATATATTTAAATTAGAAAGCTACTAATTTGTAAATACAAATATGTGAATAAGAACCGTATCTCTTAAATGTGAGCAGTGGAACATAATAAGGAAAAAGTCTCCAAAAACAGTTAAAAATTGCTTAACATTTTGGGCAATAGGATGTTCCTGTGAATTATTTATTTTGGACCTAAGATATGTAAAATAAAATTAGAAGTATAAAGGCATAGAGTATCTTATATCCAAGTCATATACTTCTAAAAATGACTTCAGGTTCCCAAGGCCCACTTTCATTTGTTGGGGAACACAGTGCACTGGGAAGTCTGAGTGTCATCTCAGGATAGTGCTGATACCTCGAGGGTCTTTCTGGTTCCAGTGTCGCCCTCAGAGAGTATGTGGGATGCCATTGTGGACACCCCACGGCCCTGTCACGCAGAGAGCCAGCCCAACCCCCGTGTCTCTGCTCACAGAAACCCACTCCCCTCGTTGGGTATTTCTAATGAAAACCGCACTGCCTGGTCTGTGCTGTCCACTCAGAGGGCTGCTTAGTTCTTCCTTCTCATCCCTGGGACACATGAGGCTGCGGACTGCCATCAGCCGCAACTGGCATTTTGGACCTAAATTTCCAAATTCTACACCTGAATGAGACTCTTTAAATAAATTCAAGCAGAAAGAGAAGAAAAAGAGAAGAAAGAAAACCTTTTTCTGTAATACCAAAGTTTAATCAGTAAGTAAAAATGTTGATGAGGTTGCGTAGATGGAGTTTCATCCAATAACTGTGTGCTACTTTGGGACAAGAAAAATGGACTTGACGTTCATTTTTCTGGGCAGGTGCCTTTCTTCCTGCAAGCATACCATAAATTAAGGTTTTGCTCAATTGTAATTTTAGGTGCAGCAACAAGAGGTTTTAGCTTCAAAGGTGTTTTTGAGAAGATACCTGCAGTGGAAGACAGCAGAAGTGCTCTGTGTGAAGTTGGGCGTCAGTTATGTAGTCCACCTGTCCTTTGAATGCCAACATCAGAATAGCTCTGGGACAGTGTTTGCGACAACCATCTCAGCAGGGGCCTATGTTCAGTGCACACGGAAGGGATCCCGAGCATGGACAGGTGCACTCAGGTAGATAAGTGGAGCGAGGTGCAGAGGCCTTGAAGAGCATATACAAGTTGAGCCTGTGTGGCAGGCCACGTGGGTGGCTGTATTGGCTGGTAACAGCCTGGGGCCAGCATGCCTGCTTTCAGTACAGAGATCTGGCGATAGTGTCTGCTTGTCCAAATGGTGTCTTGTGGAGCCAGGCGATTTGATCTCTTGGAGAGCAACGATAGTGTCTGCTTGTCCAAATGGTGTCTTGTGGAGCCAGGCGATTTGATCTCTTGGAGAGCAACTCCCAACCCAGGTGCGCTTGGTTGGTTTATTTTCGTTACCTGATTTGTTAACTAGAAATACGCTTATGTGTCTTATTTTTAAAAGGTTTTGTGAGTTTCTGCTATTTTGAAACAATTGTAATAAATTAGAGGCTTCTTGATAATACTTGTTACCATTTTAAAAAAGTGATTTCCTTTGAAATTTTTCTTTCAGAGAGATGTCTCAGTAAGACCTGTGGATGGGGAAAATTGTTATTTTTCTTCCTTCAAAGCTGATTATT